AGTTACAGGAACACGCCACTATTCCCAGCCATTAGTTATAGTAGAGAAACAACTATATGTACCGAATATTCTATGCGATTGAGTAATATAGTACAGACTGATAAATCATGGATTGTTGATACCGTCACCGTGTGACCTCTACAGTGATACAGATTTTCTTTTCTGCTCTCTAACCTGAGTATGCATCATTATTCACAAATAAAAAACAAACTAGAATCCAATTGTACTTCGCACAAGTTGCGATATCGATAGACAATGTGGACACTTCCAATTATCGAACATTACGGCACATGTTTAAACAGTAAATTTTCACAGTATCAATCAACAAGAAAACCAGCACACTTTTGAGGCCATGTGCTTAGATGACATAACACCAGAGTAAACCATCCTTTTGGCAAATACATAAAGGATAAGAAGCAGTAAATATTATAAAAAGACTTGTAGCAATTTCAGCGAAGTTATTATCGGTCCTTCTTTCTTCTTATTGTGATTATTCTAAACCGTTTCAACAATCAATGAATAAACTTTTAAAATCATTCTTTGGTGTGTCTTCTATGTTTTAAAGAACTGGTAATCACTTAGTATACCTTTTATTAGATGTATGTATGTGGAAACAGAAATTCACTAATTAGAAGATATGTACACATTCATTTCTCAATTGTCTAAAAATAAAAAAATATGGCACCGGACAATGAATAATAATTAAAAAGTTCGAAGTTCAAGATACATTTTTCTTCCACTTGTGGAACTCATCTCGCCGAATCTGGACGGTTGTTTAAAAATAGAACGTGAAATGATCCACATTCAGTACCCAAAGAGCTATCTCGCGTTTTCAGAATGTCTCTACAAGGTCTCTATGTAGTTCTCTAGATCACACGACTCAGTTTTTGCAAAAACGATGAGTAAATAAGAAAAAAATAATCCCTGAACAAATCCAAAATGTCTATCGACATGATTAATGAAATTCTCATATTACAGGTTGAAAGTAAGCATTGTTCGCCGATACAAAGACTTAATATCAAATAATTAGCTTGTTTTGGATGGTGCAGACACATTCATCATATTAGATATTAGATTTACACCCGATATGGGGTTGTCACTGGATCAATTTCTAGTGATATTATTCATTAGGAGTACTAATACATATGTGTACGATATAAAACAGATTCCGGATGATGACGGGGATGATTATAGTCGAAAAGAAGACAAATCTAATAGAAATGGAAAAAAATCCTCCAGCATTATATCTAGCGTTAATCGATTGAAAGAGCGTGAGCTCGATTTAATTGATATATTCAATGCTGATACTCTGGATGATTTAGATTTGACTCCATTACGCGATGAAATTTATAATCAGAATTACAGGTTTGATACATTTAGGGATAATCGAACACAATTGTATGAATGTACAACTGGTCAGCTCCGGGGATCGTGTATTGGAATTTACTAAAAAGCAGATAGTATACAGTACAGATTTACTAAAAAGCAGATAGTATTGTTAAACTTAAGTCTGAAGCATCTAACTGTCAAATTCGGAATTCGCAAAAGTATATCATTGTTTCTTAATCAAAAACATTCTAGAAAATAAGAGTATATTACTTTGGAGTTTGGATAATTGTGGAATTGTTTGCTGTTTGATTGATCAATAGATTTTGTCAAAAGATAAACAAGGTTCTTTATTACTACCAAAAAATAAAGAATAATGTTTGGGATAGATAACCCAAAAATAGACTCAGAGATGGACAAAATAAAAACACAAGAAAATATAAGTATATATTTTACAACACAGTTAGATAATTGCAGGAAAAATAAATGTGATTAACATAGAATAAAGTGCTTCATGCATGAGTACAAAAAAAATGTACAAAAGACACATTACTAATAAAATAAGCATCTTAAAATTGACAAACTATCTTTAATTGAACAAAAACTTTAGTTTTATGAGGTATCTCATTCTAACTTGTTTTGTATCGTATACGATGTATTCATTATAATTCAAGGTATAACCTTGTGGATTGACAACTTGTGTCTCTTCACCGGGACCCATAGGAACTATCATATCATCCCTAATTAAAAGTAAAAGCGTAGAATGAGTTTGTCAACGAAAAGCAAGACAAAGAGAACAATAATTCTTACAATGTTATGAAATTTTTTGGATTTGGAGCAATTTGACCAAGTGCTTTGACAGATGAAGTGCCTTTTGGTAAACGATCAGCATTACAATCTGCAGCCAATAAATCATTTGTTTTTCCCAATGATACCTGAAATATTATAAAGAAGCAAAATGATTTAATGGATAGAGACGTCAATAACATAAAAGTTAATCAGACAAAGAGAAATTTCAATCATCTACATTAAAAAAATTCAGAATACTCACTTCTGATAATAAAACAATGCCAGTATTTTTATTTGGAGTTGGATAACAATAGTTGGCAGACTTTGAACTCATATCAGCAAAATATAAGCCTAAAGACATACATACAGAAGTCGTATAAATAACAAAACTACACTAACTCTTTACGCACCTTTTCCAAACATATAACCAGTCATTGGTGCTTCTGGTGGCGCAATTCTCAATCCTTGGCCTATAATACCAGCAAAATTTGTCAGACGTGAACCGTGCCACAGTAACATTCTAAAATAATTGAAAAATTACGTTAACCAAGACAAAAGTTAGAGTTAACAGTTTTGAATCTTACTTATTTCCAACATCTTTAAACTGCTCAGCATCGTTTTCTTTTTTAACTTCATATATTTGTTCAATTTCCATTTTATACTGTTGATGTGTTTTGGCGTGTGTCGATTGTAAGTAATCATTAATGATTTTATACACTGATTCTGTTTTCTCAACTGGTCGAATAGCACAATGTAGTTGTTCATAATGTTGATCAACTGGATTCAGTTTATCCGAATCTGTTTGCAATGTTTGAATAGCTATTTCAATATCAGTCAATGTCTTTACAATGAAAAACAAACAAATAATGCTCATGATAAAGAGTTACAAATAGACTTTTCCACATACTTCTAATAATTCAATTTCAACTTTCAATTGAGCTTGATTTCTAATTATTGGTGGAGTTCTCATACCAAAATCATGAGGAATTCGTGAATAATATTTGTTACAAGCTTCAACAAGTGTACGATCCAATTTATTTGCTTTTATGCATGTTTCAATTTCTTTCAATGCCGAATAACCAGCTTTAATTTGATTCATAGAAAGTTTTCCTTAAAAGAAGCCAAAATAGTGATTTATAAATAGAAGAGCACATAAGATATCAATCCTTACCAAGTGGAGCCTTCTGTGCATCATATTTCATTTCTATTAATGTATCTTCCATTGCTTGAATATTACAAATAAGATTAATCAAATCTTGAATACGTTTATCAAGACGTGACTCTGGTATAATACGCGAAGGTTTTTGTTCGACATTTTTTTTCATTTTCTTTTCTTCCACATCCTACCAAAACCAAAATATTACCAATATTTCTGCATAGTTTTCGATAATTGAGTAAGCATACTGATGCATTAAAATCCAGTTTGATATAATCGTACTTTCCTGGAGCTTTCTCAAATGTGTCTCGATGATACCATTCATTTTTTGTTTTATCACTAAATCTATCAAGGAAATAACACTCGGTTTTTTCTTCATAGGATAAGTTTTAATATTAATTGTACGAGAAGATCAACAATATTCATTTTACTAGAAAACATATAGAAGTATTTAAAAGAAAACGAAAATTCTTTCTTTTTCTCTCTCTCTATACAAAAAGAGACTAGAAAGAAAATGAATGATGTAGCAGTTTAATTTACTACATATTCGTGATTTTCTTTTTGTATGTTACTGATGGTGACTCTAGTTTGAGTCGAAAGTTCTTATATATCTTTTAATAAAATAAATATTGTTGATTTTTTCGTACAATTCATATTTACGTTTACTAATTTATTCTGAACAAGCGAAACTGAAATAAATTTTTAAATTACTTCTTGCAAAATATTCTTTTTGCACCATCAAGATCAGGTCCCAATGATTTCAAGTCATGTTGCCCTGTTTTACCAACACGACCCCTGAAATAAACATAAATTTTATATTTAGCAAATCAAACGTTCAAAATTCGTTGAAAAATAAAACCTACCAACGCATCCAAACATAATATAGTTTCTTACTATTATATTCTAAAAGCTGAATAAGATAATATTTATTGTTATTATTGCCAAGATCTGTCTTAACACAAAAAGAAAACATGCAGTAAACATAACAATGTGATATTAGATTATGAAAACTTACTTGATTTAACATACAATCCCAAACATCTTCACCTTCACAATAAATATGTGTTGTACTAACTTCCGTACATTCGGGATCAACTGGTACTTTTCCAGCAACAGTCGTTATTGTTCTCACTAAATAAACAAGCCTAGTGGCACTAAAACTTCTATCAACATTCTTTAGTTTTACTTGTGTTTTTTTGTTGATTTTGTGTTGATTTAGAAGAAATTGCACGTTTTTTATTCGTGACCGTATCACCACGTTCTTTATCGTTACCGCTTTCTTCTAACGAACGTTTTCGTGTATTTACTGTAGGTGTTGACGATATAGAGCGTTTTGATTGTGTTGTTGGGGATGGAATAACAGCCGCTAAACAAATTTTGTTTACTAATCTGTGAGAAAAAATAAAAACCAATTGTTTACTTGATTTAACACAACGCACGTTTCTTTTAACTCCAGTATCTTTATTGATTTGTACCATCTTATCTAAATCAATTTCATAATTTTTCTCATCGACTATATATGATATAAACTTTTTTTTCTTTTTCACAGCATCAGCTATAGTCATCATAATCGTAACATCGTAAGGACACCATTTCGAATGTTCGTTTTGCCATTCATACACGTGAAACTCTTCAAAAATAAATGAAAAATATACAGATATATCTTCTAACTAACCAACATGTTTGTAAAAACAATATGACAGCAGAAACAAGAACTACCATTTTTCTCTTCAATTTGAATACATAATCGCATTCGACGTTGAAATTTTGTTTTCTGATTCACGTGGATCTGTTAAAAATAGAATAAAAAGAAAGTATTATGATCAAGACCTAATGAAAACTTTGAGTATGAGTACCATTGAATCGAATTTGACCATCATGTTGACCCCATCTGCAAGTGTTATCTCAACCTATAATCGCAGAAGAAAACAATATTTTAATGAGCAGAAGGTATGGTACAGCCTACCAATTTTTTTCCTTGTTCCCATGCGTCTGATATTTCCTTTTGGTTTTCAGAAGGATATTGCTGCCACTTAGATTTGTCACCTAAAATAAAATGTTAGTTTACATCACTGAAATTATAATTTATGAATCTTTTTAAATTGCACTATGCTTAAAACTAGAAACATTACCTTCCCATTCCCACTGAACAGACAAGCCAGACAAAGTCGTCATTCGGCCTTTTTATCTAAAACAGAATACCAATTTATTACAGAACTTTGTTATTGATAAAAGAAAATTTAACATCGTGAGGAAAAAGCTTTTTTTTAAAAATGCAGACTTTAATTAGCAATCTTTGGTTAGATCTGCCTACCAGTAGTATAGAAGCAGGCAAATAATTGATTTAATAATGCGATGCCAGTTAGGCATAAGCAGTTTATAACTGTTTTAATAACAAAAAACAATCAAAACTGTTCATTCTACTAAAATGCGCTCTTTTTCACTAATTCAATGTCAAGGTACTCTGTCTGATGTTAGTATCGAAACAGTACAGGAATGTCAACTAATCAAATCTTTAGCTGTTTGTTGTTTATTTTTGAATACAATACGTCACGATGAAAGGGAAAAATAATGGGGCCAGAAGATAGACAACATGATTTTAGAAACAATGAATGTGTTGTAGAAATAAGAATTGCATCAAATTTCGTCTACAGCCAAAATCTGCTAAAGGACTGAAAATCCTACAGATCTCTCACGAGCAATTGCTTGATAGTCGCAGCAAAAGTCAAAAGTGAACTCTGAACCCTTCGAGGAAGAAGTCGAATAGAGTTGTATCACCCATTTAAATTTGTTCTTTAGGAAAAGTATTTATGATCATTATTATAGTATTTCATTAGTATATCATTATTATCATTTTCGGTTTGTGAAATCTATCTGTACCACACATATATTCTCTTGGATATGTTCAAAAAAGCTCTCAGTTTAGCGCTACAACTGAAAAAGTTCTTTTGTGATGTATTAATGTCCATTTCTTCCCGCTGCAAAGGCCAAGATAAGAATTATGCACACAAGATTTTTCAATATAAAGTTTTTTTCGTTTCAATATAACTTTATTGAGCCATTATTGACGCTTCTCTACAGCAATAAAGTGTACGAATTGACAAAAAATACGTTCTATCATACTTTATGCCTCATTTAAACAATTTGCTCTCATATGTATTAAAATATGATAGAAAAAAACAAGGAAAAAGACGGCGAACAATTATATATTTACTCAGTCGCCTGTCGCCATCACGAACGGTTCTGGTTGGCTTTCACAATCGGTGCCCGGCTGTGCTTCATTTAATCAAATAAAGGCGAAATGTGTCAGAAAGTTGCTACATTGTACAAAAGCTTTGTAGCTATGTCCTTTATTCTTCTTGTGATAAATTAGTATTAGTCAGTTAATAAACCATATCCTAAAATATTATGCATAAACGTGTTGCACCCAAATCAGTATTTGCCATAGTAACAGGTGCATGTTAAATATTGTCATGGCGTTAAAAGCGTTCGATAATAATATAAATTTCTTAATGTAAATGTTTATGTATAGAAGATTAAATGGATGGTTCACCGCGTATCGTTAGAAGCCAGAGTGCGGTAGGACTTCTTTTCTATCAACATATTGCATAAGCGTCATGTTTATTATTTGCAGCTTCAAGCTCATCGAGAAGATGTACCTACCAAACATGAGAACTATCTGATAAATTTGCAAGAGAGAAACAAGTACGGTAAAACAAATATTTGCAATTTCTCTTGGTTTTTATCATAACTATTTTTCGAACGAAACAAGGATTGAACACACGGAAAGCGTAAGAAAATAAAAGGATGCTGAGACGTATTCCAGTGTATTTTCAATGATCAAGTTTGTATGTAAGAGAAAAATGCAGAGTTCTCTCTGAAAAATGATTGTGCAATCTATTGCATACTTTGAAATCTGGATTTGTACACACCTGGAACACGCAATAACATTTGAGAAACGTGATTGATGGAGAACTCTGCTCAATGTGTGTAAATTCAACCGCGTTCATTTTCACTAGACTATCTAAGACATTTGTATAGCAGATTTCCAAATTTGGGAGAAGGAATTTCTTTTAGTAAAATACATACCCTTATTATGTTTTTTGAGGTATTGCGCCTCAAGTGAGCTTCCTTGTACTAATTATAACCATGATTTTCTTTAATCAAACAGATTGATAAAATTATTACGTCAACAACGTCAGCAAGAGAATAACTTAAAACGTCGTGAGACAGGATTTCAGTTGTACCTTAATGGGGCACACCATACACCACCAAAACGTCCACCATCGATACAAGGTAAACCTCTCGCTCTTTTTTTCTTACGTAAAAATTTAATTTCTTTTGCAGGCAGTAGCAATCGAAATCATGCTCCAATGAATTTAGATTTTCTTCTACCATATTCTTCTGATTTTCAATATCCGACAAAATCTGCTATAAATAATGCAAATAATAATACTCATAGCGACAAATTTTCAACGTCGTCGCGTCGTCAGTGGAATAATAATCCCATAGTAAAAATAAAAACTACACAAGGATCAACTATCGTTGATCTTCCTATGAATCTTCATCAGTCGCCAGCAACAAATCATGATAGTCGCGTAAAATCATTATATGTAAAACAGCAAATCCAGTCAGACGACCAACATTTTAATACTACACAGTCAGCACATTCTCCAAATTTGAAAATTGGTCAATCAAGAAAAGCTTGGGATGAACAACCAGTTGAATTAAATTCTAGTCAATTAAAAGCGAATTATAATAATGTACCGTTCTATAACTTTAAACCAGTCAACGTAAAAGAAAGTTGGTTACCCAATTGGTGTGTAAAGACAATTGGTACACCTCAAGAAAATACTAACTCGTATCAAAATGAAGGTAGATTAGTGTGTCCATCATCTCTTCTTATTCTTTCTTTAAGTAAGAAATAATAGTCCTAAGGGTTCTGCTTGTAATGACCAAATGCCCTTTTTTTAACATTTAGTTGTCTTTTTTATGCTTCATACATCATTTGAACAAATATTTAGATGATTATGAATCCGATTTTGATTTATCTCAAAGCAGTACTGACGATGATCATGATGATGTTGAATCCCACGATAATTGTTTATTAAACCGTGTGTGTACGTATTATTCTTAACAGGCGTACGTTAGCAATTAAACTGTGAAAAATTTTTACGTGAAATAATGTCCGAGTCTGTAAGAATATGTCACATTTTTTTAATGACGTGATAATGCGCGATAATAATGCAGTACATAACGCTGTATAACGCTGCATAACATATGTAGTGTACTTTCACACGTTAAGACATTATTTAACATAAAGATTATTCACAATGATGGCAGTTCTTACATCATTAATGGTTTATTTTAGCCTTATCCTCTGATGATTCGACAGAATGCAAGATCATAACTGAAAAGCTTTCGGTAACATATGATATTGAAAACAAAGAATTCTTCTGTTAGTATGTAAGCCATAAAAAAATAATAACGCAATTGCTGTACTCTTTCAGATTTGCAACAATAATAACACTCACCAGCAACTCGTACCCAGTAATAAACATTCAACAATGATCGAAGAACTAAGTGACAGTTTAAAAACGATACTTTCTCAGCGAGAAGAAGAGCATAAGTCAAATGTCACTAAGATACCACCAGAAGGTCTCACAACTAGTACCTTGGTAGGTAGGTAAGCTAAACGATAATAAATTTATTATTCATTATAATACTAAAAATTTCAAGTGTAGTTTAGAGTACTATAGTGTCTTATTTTAATGTGTAACCCAATTGAGTAACAATGAAAGTGAAAAATACTCGCATAAAGTTAGAATCTAAGAATAATTGTCAAATTACTTCAAGTATAATTAGGAATCAAATACTTTCAAAATTATTAAAAGACAAAACACACAGAATGTATATCCACTATCTAACTCAAACTATAATGGTGTGTATCCATTTTTGAAGATCTTCTGATAGATGGATGACGAGGATTTGAAAGTTTTGTTCATCGATAGCCGAGATTTGGTTTGGAGGCGTCTTCTTCATAACTAGAAAAGTTCAAAAATCTTTGTTAGATGAGGCCTTCTAGAGGATGTTTGAAGAACTGATTTGAACGCTCAAAAAGTTGAAACAGCAATGTGCTTGTTTTTACACATGTGTAGATATACCAAAGTGTCCTCTAAAAAATGAGAGTCATCCGGCCTCTTCATACACCAAGGTTTAAGCGTGGTATGAGACTTCCTGAGAGGTTACGCACTAGATTAAGATGCACTACACAAACCTCGATTACAACCGGGACATAGGTTAATGAGCGTACTGAGTCTCGCGACAACGTTCTGTTTGCATCAAACACCTAGCGAACATCTATTTTTGGTGAAACAAGCAGTTTTAGACTCTTTTCATCAAAACTAAATATTTTGTTACTCCCTCAGAAAGTCAGAGAATCTGATGCCACGCCTAAACCCCGGTGTATGAAGAGGCCGGATGACTCTCATTTCTTAGAGGATACTTTGGTCTATCTACACATGTGTAGAAACAAGCACATTGCTGTTTCAACTTTTTGAGCGTTCAAATCAGTTCTTCAAACATCCTCTAGAAGGCCTCATCTAACAAAGATTTTTGAACTTTTCTAGTTATGAAGAAGACGCCTCCAAACCAAATCTCGGCTATCGCTGAACGAAACTTTCAAATCCTCGTCATCCATCTATCAGAAGATCTTCAAAAATGGATACACTCCGCTATAGTTTGAGTTAGATAGTGGTTTTCGTTGGACAACTACATAATGATATATTGGGATTTTTTGAAACAATGTTTCGTTTTTAGTTGAAGTTTCGTTTAACTGGATAGTTCTTGTGCTGTACTGAGTTTTTATGTTATAAAAATACGCTACTGTTTTATTTTTTGAAACAATAATTGTTTTAATTGTAAAACTCAAATTGCAAATTACTACATGAAATTTATGTTTGATGTAAAATCTATCACTTATTTTCAAACAAATATTTTGTTCTTTTTCTTCATGTAAGAAATGCGTGTGTGAAATATTCAGTAATATTCACATAAATTTTTATTTAATCATAAACGGTTTATATTTTTTTATCGAATAAAAGAGTTGATTTTATGAATGAACGTCCTGTTTTGTGTTGGAAATAAAAGAAACTGAACATAATGTGTTTGCCAGATGAACGAAGTAATTGACGGTGACATATGCCGAACAGAGAGAAGAAAAGTTTGTGTTTCCTCTCCTCTGCTTTTTCGACAAAGAATAAAATATTACCTGTTCTTTTCCTTTTCAACTTAAAATTGAAAAGAAACATGACAACGTCAATCAATAGCCTATCGCACTATCAGACCTACACACACAGTTGCAGAATTTTCATTTCATTTTTTCTTATATTTTTTTACACGTGAAATTTTTTCAGCTTTAATTATAAAAGTCAGTCGAAAAAAAAAATAAAGATCATAGACAGAAGTTGTTTTTGAAAGTGAGCAATTGTATACAAATGATAATTTGAACTTGACTGCTATTGATTGGTTGTCTCATAAAGAGAAAAGAAAAGTAACAGTGATCTTGGGAATAATAATCTTTAAAAAGTCATTAAAAGAATGAGTCGTCGAGAGAATAATCAAATACCTGAGAATAAAAAAGTGTCGAAAGCAAGCGACAGTCGACCGGGTAAGATATTATCTCATATATGTATAAATATATGTTAATAAATTAAAATCTAAATTGACATTCTGTTTAATTATTTATTAATCATATATATATATTAATTTTGTGACAGACGATGTCTATAGTGGCACAATTTGTTCTTTTAGGTTTACCACCACGCCGACTTGCTGGAGCAGATTTAAGAAAGCATACAAGTAATGCATATCAAGCACCCCAGAGACGTCCGACAAAAATGGTTGATAGTCTCGATTTAGAAAATTTTCCAGCACCAAAGTATAAAATAAACTCTTTGTACAAAAATAATTTTATCTTAACAGTGTTTCAACTACTTTCAGAGAATTTCATGTTACATCTGATCTCGATTTTGACGAAAAAAAGCCTGCAGATGTTTTCTCATCTCATCAATCAAGTAATTTATTGTCGATTAATAAAGATCGAAAGCCATTTGCAGCTAATCGTAATGGTATGTAAGAGAGAAATGTAAATTTTAAACTGATTTGAGAATATTTAATTTTTTCTAGAATCTAACAGTCCAGCATCCGATTGGCTTGAGCGTTCTATTACTCAGATCGATTTATTTGGGCGTAGACATCGTGGAATGTTAGAAAACACCGACATAAGTAAGAGTCATTTATATATTTACAGACTTAGATTAACTGACATTTAAATGATCATACTTATTCAACCATACCGCAATTTTGTGTTTCTTTTAACTCATTAGCTTGTATCAACTATAATTGCAATTGTTCAAAATGACATTGTAAACAAGAAATTTTCTTGTGATTATAACATTTCATAGACTAAGTTCCATCTCGTAGATTTTCAGCTGTTTGAATTGTCTTCTCTCATACAGAGTATAAACGGAACGCGTATTACATCAATCACCAAATAAAACTGTGTTTTCAAAATACTTAAAAAACTTCCAACTTCTCACTAAATTGTAACAAAAACGCGAAGAATGCTTATAATTCTCACATAAACCCTCTACCGATGAAAAATGAAACAATCTATTCAATTTTGTTGATAGCAAAAAATATGATACTGAAACGTGTTAAATAGCGGAGTCACTCAGACATCGGATGATGACAAACGTGTACAATATTAAGTAGTTCTCATTTTAGATGAATCAGTGGAAGATTATTTTAAAAATGTGAAAAAAGATGAACAACAGCAAGAGGAAGAAAACAACGCTCATGTTGATGATGATACGTTTATGATACCAGAATTACCTCAAGGTCAACAGTTAGTGTTTAATTTAAAGTCGTCATGGGGCGATCGACATTACATCGGATTAAATGGAATTGAAATATTTTCAAGTGAAGGTTATCCAGTTGTCATTCGAAAGGTAAATTGATTATTTTTGTTAAAAAATTAATTATTTATAGAAATTTTTTTTAATTTTGAAGATAACGGCCGATCCACCCGATATTAACATATTGCCAGAATACGGTAATGATCCAAGAGTAGTGGGAAATTTAATTGATGGTGTTAATAAAACACGTGATGATATTCATATGTGGCTAGCACCGTTTATAGCCGGTCGTGATCATTTTATTTATATCACGTTTGAACAACCATCAAGAATAGCGATGATACGAATTTGGGTAAATTATAGACAGCATTTTTTACTACGATCTCACTTTTAGAAGTTACAAGAATCTTCGTAAGCTGATCGAGCGTTTTTCACATGCCAAAAATTATTTTTGGTTTAAAACTGTACCATTTTATTCTACATGCAAAAAAAATCTATAGTCCTGACTATAATTGACTTATAAGTTTCTCTAAACATACGTTTAAACTCAAGGATTTTTTTGATAATTGTCTGCTTTCTCGTGTGTGAATGAACATTAGAAATTCGTATCTCTACCATTGAACGATTAATCTGTTTGAAACTGTGATTTTAAAATATTTTTATAGACACCGATGAAGAAAATAAAAAAATTGATATTTTTTTGCTACTTTAATCGTACCTACACCAAAAAAAAATTTATTGAAATTATCAGTTATAAATCTTCGAAGGTTAAAACTATAGATTCTTAGTTTTATTGTACACATAATTTTATTAATTTAGAATTATAATAAATCTCGAATATATTCGGCACGTGGAGCCAAAGATATTGAGATTACACTTGATGGTCGTTCAATATTCAGTGGAGAGATTAGTCAAGCATGTGGAGGAATACAATCGACAAATGATTTCTCTTCGTATGGTGAAACTATATTGTACACTACCGATGATCATATATTAGAAAAAATTGCTGAATATGATCCAATTTATGTTGATCAGGAAGTACCACTCGATGATAACGAGAATAATAATCGACCACCTACAGCGGGAAATGATGTGCGTCCAATGACTCGAGCCACATTAAGACGGCCATTTACAGCCTTGAGATCAACAGGAGCGAACGATACAGCAGAATTTTATGGAAATAGTGAGTAGTTGTTTCAAAAGAATTTGATATGAGTATCAGACTCCTATTTATTTTTCATTATTCAATTAGAACTTATTTTAACAATAACTGAAAATTGGGGAGATGATGGATACGTTGGTTTAACTGGATTAGAAATTGTTGATACATCTGATAATGAATGTGTCATTCAATCTTTTGATGTAATTTCACCAAATAATTCAAAAGATAATCAAACATTAGACAAGTACGTTAAATTCTTAGCACGAAATGTCAATTGAGAACAAAATTTTTTTTTTTCTTTTTTCTTTTCAAGATTATTTGACAGAGAAAATGTGACAACTTCCGAGAATCACATGTGGTTAACTCCATTTTTGAAACATGAAAAAATTCGAGTTGTTATCTCGTTGAGTAATAAAAAACGTTTACATGGACTTCGATTATGGAATTATAACAAATCGTCGGACGATACATTTTGTGGAGTGAGTATATTTTTTGAGTTGAATTAATAGTTAATGTATGACGTTTGTCTCATATATGTTTAGATTAAACGTCTTCATGTTCAATTAAATGATAAAATTATATCGCCAAGACAAGGTTTTCTGATTCGTCGAGCCCCTGGTCACTGTTATTTTGATTTTTGTCAAGAAATAATTTTTGCACACGCTAAAACTGAATATAGTCAAAGCAAGAATTCCAATACAAAACAGAATGACACAAAGTATTGTTTATAATTGAATAAATATTGAATTATGATAAAAAGTAAACTGAAAATTTATTTTAGTCACATAGAAGTTTTTTATTTTTAGATCATCAAAAATTCAGCCGATTAATAGGGAGAATGATTCGAATATATCAATGCCAAATGGATGTATCCTTTTTTACTTTCATATTAAAAGATAAAGTTGATTATAGTTTTCATAATGTCTTTAACTAATTGAATCAGTCATTTATGAATTTCATATTTTATCTAATCATGGGGATTTATATTATGTGGGTTTAAACGGACTTGAATTTTATGACGAAAATGGAGAACAAATTGGTTTAACAGAAAACAGTAAGTATAGATAAAACACACATAATCTCACTACTTATAACTTTCTGTTTTCTTAGTCAGCCCTCGATGCTACTACTTATAAGTTGAGTTTTGACAAAAGTTTCATTTTAATCGTTATTTTTCTTTAAAATTTCATCTCTGATCCGGATAGATGGCGAGTCTTTCTCATCATGCCATTACGTAAGACTGGTTCGGAGCAGTCAAGATTGGAAGTCAACATGAAAATCAGGTAGAATGCAACATAACACCGATAGAAAAATAACGTTCATTTATAGTTGCGAAAAAGTGCTTTTTCGTATTCGGCATACTCGGTAACCGAGTAGGTTTTCTATTTTTGGCAAGGGATACTGCCAAAAGTTTAGGAAAAATATCCAAACAAAATAGTGAAAAAAAATTTCCATAGGAAAATAATATTAGTTTCAAAATTTTTCTTAAACTTTTGGCAGTATCCCTTGCCAAAAATAGAAAATCTACTCGGTTATTGATGTGAAAAAAATTTAATTTAGTCTAAAACTAGTGTGAGATGCAGGGATAAACAGGTGATTTAAATCAACCCAAAATCAGTCGAAAATGACCCAAAATTAATTGATTTTCAGTGATTCATCGATTTCATTTGGTGAAAATCGATGAAAATCAGTGGAAATCGACGAAATTCAAAAGAATTCAAAAATCAGCTGTTTCCTCTTTGGGGAGATGTTTGATCCTTTTCATATTTCATAAGATCAGCAAATAAAACCAAAAAAGGTCCGTTTCTGAAGTTCCTTCTTTTTCATTCTAAACTTTACAGGATTCTTTATTTCATTTTTCTGTTTTATCTCTCATCGATTCAGAGCTGACTGATGGTGTTGTGGATAGTGCGTTTCATAGTAATAGTCATCGCTTTCTACTCACAGTAACACTGCTCTTAAATATTTCTGATTGTCAAAGTTATCTAATTTGAGTACTTTTCTTAAATTCTTCTCAGAGATTGTTAGTTCTTCAGCCCTGATTTCAGAGCTAAATGAACTGATTAGCATTTTTATCTCTCTCTCTCTCTCTCTCGTTTATATTCATTTTAATGTAGCCTGATGACATATAAAACTTTTGATAATATTAACCTTACTTATGAGGAGCACCTTGAACTGTTAGGTGTCTACCTTTCATACATTTAAAATGGAAACATCATATCACGATGCCGTCAGATGTTCGGGGCTTTACAACCAACTTTTGAGACAGCGTGTTTCTTGCACCTTCACAGCTATCGTTTATGTATGTTGCCTGTTATCTACTACTATTGCAGTACCCAAGCACGAAAAAAAATCATGAAGCGGGCGCTGCATCTAGATTAAAAGGTACATTTATCTAGCTTCAGCTAGCTGTACAGAAATACATGAAAATTTTATCTAGCTTCAGCTAGATTGAAGCTAGTTTCAATTGGGTACAACTAGTTGCTATCGATTAATCGGGCAATTCATTGCTCGATTAATTGGCCCATGAAGTGACCGTTTCAGCTAGTACACAATTTCAATCATCACGCAGCTAGATAAATGTACCTTTTAATCTAGTTAATCTGGCTGTAAGTGGGCGCTGCAGCTACTTCTGTAGCTAGATTTTCCCGCTTACTTAGTTTTGCTTGGGTATGTATGATAGTGAATTCAATTCAATTTCTATTCGATCAAAGATCATGAACATATATAATAGCGAAATGTTTTTAACAAAACTAGTCCAAGGTGACAAATACCTTGCCATATGTCCATTAGCAAGAAAAAGGATAAATAAAAACAAAAACAACAGATGAAATATAACATAATACAGATAAGTCAAATATGGAAACGATAATTAACGAGAGAATAGGAACAATAATGACAGCAGAAATAACAATACAGTTAATAATTGAGAAACATCGCTAATCGATTTTAAGATGCGCACATATTAATACATGGTGTCAACTCGTTTGGAAGAAGATTAATGTCTTTTCGAGTATTCGAGAAGAATGACGATTGAATCACAGTATATGGACTAAAGGATACAAGCACCGTAGCTGTGTTAGTAGATCAAATTGAATAATTTGGGACATAAGGAGTAATGAATGATGATGATCTCAATAGAGATAGAGTTTTGTTTTACGAATAGAATAAAAGCTGCACAAGCGAAAGTGAGGTGCAGTGTGAGTTGAAAAATTAGAATCGAATACTGCGGAAACATAATCCATTTTCGGCAAAACACAAGATTTTATTAAGCAAGAGACGAATTGGTGGAGATGGTGAGCTTGAAAATGTGCGATTTATCGCGCCTAACATTCGTCTGGAAACAAGAGCTGTTTCTTCTATATGATTCACCCGCTTCGTATCACTAAAGAATTTTAATCCTAACAGTTTAGAAGCAGAGTCTAATAAAAATGGTGTGCCTGACAATTGAAGAGACAGATTCCTAACTCAGCTTTTTAAAAGAGAAACATATGTGTATGAACATTTGGCGCCATACGATTCACCATTGTGAGATCTGACCAATTTTCATTTTAACTATGGATAGTCGTTTCAAAACGCATTTACCTCTTTATTCAATCTAGAAATTTGCACAGGATGATTTGGATGATTTTTATTCAGACAGTGTTGATCTTGTAAGAACGTTAAATTTGTTTAACTTCGATTCGCGTAAAAAGTATTTTTGATTAACTCTTTTTTATAAGACTAATAAATCACAGTGCTCTCTTATCTTACTCGATTTAATTTGCACGAACCTTTAAATGCTTGTATTTCTCAGAGAAGAGACAACAAATGTTGATAACGAATAAAAAATGGTTTCGTATCTACTTTTCTAACTCAAACTTATTCTAAATGGAATTCTTTACCATAGTATGCTATCGCATCTTTCCCGTTTCAATCTCTTAAAATAACACTCAAAATATATTTCTGGTCTTTCTATTAATTAGTTCTCTTGTTCTGTTATCTCTTTTTTCCTCTATGTGCAGACATTACAAAGTTAAGGAAAAGCTTGTTATGTTTATAATATCCAAGTTTCATTGTGTAATAAATAACGATTGACTGATTAAGGCATCCGACAGTTTCTTGATTAATAATGTCATAACAAGATTGATGTGATATTTATGTTTTTATAGATATTGCCGCTTATCCACATAGTGTAAATGCGTTAAATCCTTCAGTTGCCGATATCAGAACACCCGAGAAATTAATAGATGGAGAAAATAATGATATAGATGGTGCTCATGCATGGCTCTCACCAATTTTGAATGGAGTGGTATGAAATTAAAAAAAATGAATTTTTCCCTATGTAAACATATTTTACATTTGAATTCTAGTTTAATCGAATATTTGTCATATTTGATCGGCCAACATCTGTTTCAATGATTAAAATTTGGAATTATTCGAAAACTCCTAACAGAGGAGTTCGAGAATTTTCTGTAAGCTATAGAAAATATTTTACTAAACACGTCAAAATACATATATTTTGTTTTGTAGCTTCTAGTAGATGATTTATTGGTATGGACAGGAATTTTAGATCGAATTGATACAATGGATAAAACCAATGAAATACTATATAATACAATATTATTTTGTGATGAAGAAATACTTACTGAACAAGAAAAATACACACTATTAGAGTAAAATTTGATTATCGTTATTCGATCTAGATTTAGTTTAAACATTTTATTTTTTTATTTTAGAAATAAAGGTTCATCAGAGAATGCTAGTGGCAATGAAACAAATTCAAGAAATAAACCTAATTCTATCGATTATTGTAAGTTAATTGTTTGAGAGAAACGTAGTAATTTTAAAAAATTCATATATTTTTTTTATTTACAGCAAAACGACCAACAACTTCTATGCCAAGGAAGAAAGAAAAGTAAAAAAATATTGTTACATTGTTACATAGTTTCTTTTATCAATTGTTTTTCTAAGTATTCTTTTTGTCAGATTTTTCTAACTTGACTGAAAAACTTGTCTTTTTCTTTTTCTACAATTTCATACTATATTGTTTTTTTATTTGTTTTTCAATGAACATGTGTTTTATATGTAAGACTGTAGATATATGGATTTATTTATTTTATTTATATTTTTTTGCTTTTCACTTTCAAAGTTATTATGGTCATGAAAAATAAATGTATAATGTGACAGAAATATAAAAAAATATTGCATAGTCTAAAGATGTTTTTGTTGTGGAAAAAATTTTGTTTTCAAAAATATTTGTAGGTATTCAAAATAAAGAAATCAAGAGGTAAAGAACAAATAAAAAATCTTAACAATTAAAAACATTTTATTTTTTTCAAAATTATCGAAGTGCCTAGCAAATAACGTTTAAACAGAATGCGTATACTAACAACGATGATTGAGTGTTTCCTCTTTCATAAGAATCTTAATTTTAGATTAATAAATAGGTACCAGCTTCGATGACCGCTTGCGTACATGAAAAAGCTCTGAGAATGAAATTTAAATCCTATGTTCACTCATATTTTCCTTTTTGCTCTATCAAACTCCCATTCATCATCTTTTAAGATATTTTTCATTGTCCATGCCGCATCTAATATGTTAATTATTATATGGTGATATTTTTGTCATAATATATTTTAATTTGATTTTAAAATCACACTGGTGTTGTTGTTGTTGTTATTGTTATTACAGTGTTTTGCCAAAACTTGTTCAAATTGTCATGTTTCTATTAAATAGAGTGATTCAATACGAACTCATATATATCACGGGTATTACTAGCTGAATTATTGGATATATAGATGCTTTTAATTATGGATTGCCTGATAAATCGTTGGCGGGAACTCTCTTTTGTACATAGCCTCTTGGACGAATTAGATATGTTGTCATATTTCCTTTGCCTTTAACAAAAATTGGTCCACGACATTCACATGCATAACCGTGTTCAAATAATATTCGTTGAGTTTCTTCAGGTACCTGAAAAATTACATAAGGAACACATAAATCTTTGTATTCATAATTAAATTGAAGAATTCGCAAGAATCGCATGTGAATGCAGCTTCATTAAATTTCCTCACCTAATTTGAACAAAAATGTTCATATTCTTTCAATTCTATGTGAATTGAAAAACGCAGACTGGCTATGAAAAGCAGGTCGCTTTGCTAAAATCAGTACTTCTTCAGAAAGAACTTCTCAGAAAGTTGATTTTGTGACCGGAAATTCAAATCGAGTCTTCTGCATAGTTAGATCACTTGAAGTATCCTCTTTTAGAATATGGACTGCTTTTGGTCAAAACAACAGGTCCTGATGAATTGTAGAATGGCTTTCCGGAAGGCCTTTCATAGTTCGATCGATGAAGTGCTTGCTTCTCTTACGCTTTTGTCTAAACAGAGTTTCCATATTTTCGATTGTGGTAAGCTTGCGTCGCAATGTGATCGCATTATGCTGCTCAATGCGGACGAATTGTGCACAATTGTGCGTAACAATGCAGATGCGCTATTGCAATCATATGATCCTGCGATCGCGATTGCGGTCGCAACAGTGCAAGTATGCGCAATTTTCACTTGCGGCACATGTGCCGCAAGTGCTAAAAGATCGACGATATGGGTTTCTACGTAGTAGGGCATATAAATCTAAGGAACTGCTCGGCGTAATCCAATAATACTTTTTTATTTGAATACTCATAAGAGAAATAATCCGATATGTTTTTTTATGTTTGCTTTCATTATTGAGGAGTACTGAAGCTTCTTGTACCCAAGATCTTGGGAACAGAAATTTCAAGATCTTGAGCGAATCCACTCACGATAATATGATTGAATCTTATACCCCAGAACTTGGAAATTCTTGAATTATCGTTTTGTTTGACACTCTTGTGTAAATTATCCAAGGGGAAAACAGCTGATTTTTGGGTTTTTCCGATATGCTTTGATTTGTTTGGGAAATCAAGTAAAGATTACGATAAATAGTGCAGAACCTGCTGTATTTGTACAGAATAGGAATCAGACATAGTGAAAGTAAAGAAAAAAAGATAAAAGAAACGTTAATGTTATTTTTTACTCATTTGTACTACGCGAGATAAACGATCAGCAAACAACGTTGAATTCTCTTCTGTTAATAAATAACATCAATTGCCAGTGATTTTCACCCACTTTCCTCAAAACTCAGCTGTTTCTCTCTTGAGATTATCATACTTAAGTGGAAAATGTTCTTTACATTTTGGTTTCATTTATGACAGCCATAACCATCAGATATACGACCACATATAATCGTGGATTCTTCCTTAAACACTATGTTCAAGTAAGAAAAAAATTCGAAGTTATTTTAAGTGTGAAAATATTCGCACTTATATTTACGCAAGAATGTAAAATAAAACGATGATTTCAGAAATTTCCGAGATCTTGTGTACAAGATTCAATCGCTCAAGAACTTGGTACAAGAAGTTAACAGATTCCAAGAATCAAGATCTTGGGTTCTTGAGATTTCGTTAATTTCTTACGTTTTCTTACCGAGATCCTGCTTACAAGAAGTGTCACTTCATTGATGACCTTTTTAGCGTTTCATGTTAAAATGTGCCGCACTAGAAAGGAATGGAAATCAAAGGCAGAAAGAGGCCTCGAATGATATTTAGTCTTAAGTTTGTTGATTCATTTGAAACTAGCCACAACTCTGCAGCTAACGTGCGCAATGAAAACATGTACCTTACAAACAGTTCCATTTCACCTTTGCGACACCTATAATTCCTGAAGGACTTAATAGTTTGGACTAAAAGTATTACCATAAAGTATTCACATGAAAATCTGCAACTTCTGCAAGTTTGTCTAGAATTGGCCGTAAACTGTAGAATTTTTTCTGAGAAAGATTCTTTTATTCAGAAAATTAGTTAATTGAGAGAAAAACGAGATGTTGAAGTAAGAGACTCATTCACTCTACAAAAGTTTTCATACTTACATGAATAGCACCTAATACACCGGTACTATCCATTCGTGATGCAACATTGACAGTGTTACCCCAGATGTCATACTGAGGCTTTTTTGCACCAACAATTCCTGCTACTACCGGTCCGTTACACATTCCTGAAAATAAGAAGTCTCAACTAGACTGCTAATTCTGATTATTTTTTAATACATACCAACTCTAAGTTTAAAATCATTGAAACAATCACGATTAATTGCATCAAGAGCAGAACTCATGGCAAATGCAAATTCCGCTAAAGCAACAACATTTTGATTATAGCGCTCACGTGTCTAAAATATATACAAATTGTAAAAGGAACTGATGTAGAATCAGATTAATGCTCAAATTACCATTCGATGTTCAGCACCAGGATTAAGACCAGCTGCTGCCATATAGGTATTGCCGATGGTTTTTATTTTTTCCACATAGCTAAATTTGTTTTTTTCTAATAGCTAAAATATTTTACAATTATTTAAGACGACTTTCGTTTTTCAAAAACCTACAGACCTTATCAAATTCGGCAATTATTTCATTTAATAAACGTAAACATTCTAATCCGTCGTTATTCGCATCTGATTGCACATAAAATTCTTTAAAATTTGGTATGGATGCAAACATCACAGCAACATTATCGTAACTTTCATGATAAAGTCCCTGAAATAAAAAAAAGCACCATGGCTGGGGTACAATCAGGATCATAATTCAACCATTGAATATACCTGACTCATGTTTTCTTTGATAATAATTTCTGCTACATGTTTTGGTAAAATGTTTTCTAACAATAGTCTACTTATTGTACTGATTGTTTCTACTTCATGCTTTTCATTTTGAAATTTAACCGTCCATAAAAGATCAAGTCGACTCATGTATTCTATCTATAACAATATAGAGACTATTCTTAGAGTTTGACTTACAGCAACGTAGTACATGTTATTAATTCTCTCTTAGGGACATCACTGATAATCGTCATATTAGGACATTGCTGATAATCGTCATTCTAAAGTCTAGATTAATTCCAACCTACTTTTCAATGCCAAAGTGTACTCTTTTATTTAAGTAGAATTAATTTTCTCAAAAACACATATCGTCTTATCATCAGTAGTATATAGATTATGGAGAAAACCTTGATAATCTCTTTGACGTTTTTTTTTTTTTCACTTACTCTTCTATCGAGCCCGTGTAATAATATGACAAAAAATATGAGTTCCACAGTAATTTGAGCTAATAAGTATGGGCTTTTTAAGTCATGATTATTAGCTACTATTGAATAAATGTCGGAATAGTACGAATAGATAACGTACAACGATACGGTTAAAATCATAATAAATGCTTTATGTAAAAAATATAAATGCATAAATGATGAAATCGTTAATACGGCTAATTGTAGTAAGAATATATGAAATTCAAAATGGGGACATAATTCAAATGTAACAGATGGTGAAACAGGAGCTACGATCGACAGCGAATTAGTTGACCAAACTGTAGTCTAAAAAAAGAACATTAGTATAAATAAAAATTTTGAAAAGACAAATGCATCTGGAGAGGGAGAATCCTATATTTTTTACTCGAAATGTTTATGCTTAATTCTATATGTGCAGTAAAAGTTCGATTAATTATTGATTGATTATACCTGATTAAAATTTTCGAATGAAATGTTAATATTTGATAACATATGTGGGTGAGTTGTTGACAAATTTGAATGTTGGGATGTTTTCCAAGTGGTGGCAAACGGTGACAATACACATACAATAATAAGCATTAACGTCATTGGAAGACGAACGAAATAATAATGTGTTACTAAAAATGTTGAGCGTTTAAGTAAAGAATGATGGTAATTTCGTTTAAACTAAATGAGAAAAACATAATATTCATTTCATATCATCTATGACATAGTTCACATTTACTTTAGATAGATCAAACACGCACAATACGGCAGCTAATGAAAATGTACATAATCCACCAATAACAACAACATAATAAAGTGAATTTCTACAAAAAAATGAAATGAAATGAAAATAATAATTAATGAAGTATCATACTTTTCTAATATTAATGCTTGTATAGTAATAATGGTAAAGAATAGAGATGCAGCGTTAATAACGTAATAACGATAACGTAATTCTGGTAATGAACGAAACATTGTCTCTGTGGCTGTTTGATTTTCTTCATGATTTTCTTCCATTGTTTTTTCATCACGGGGTTTAAATTGTAACGTCAAAAAATCAAGATCATTTGTACTTTGTCGTGAACTATAAAAAAAATTGCACATTTAAAATGAAAAAATGATAAAACGTATATCTCAGCATCTACTGACCCACAGTTGAATGAACAAGCCAATGGCCGTAGACTGTCTTCAAGTAAAACAAAACTTTTTGATGCTTCTGCTTTATCATTACCAGCAACACGTTCCGAAAATGGTGCTTCATTTGACCATGTATCCAGTAATTTTTGCATTTTTTTACTCATCTTCTTTGTATCACTACCACTAAGAATAAACAAAAAATAAATCTTAGATCAATCCATATTCTGTATTAATATAATAAAGGTATTTACTTCATCATAATGTTACTTTGAGATTGTGGTTCTTCTCGTGGAACAATAAAATATGTTTGAACATTATGTTCAGCAAGGTATGCATCACGTTCTTGACCATTTCCAGGTTCAACATCGAATTCATCGCCCAAATTCATGAGTGTATCTTTTGAAATATGGACTCGTCTTTAATGAGAAAAGATTACTATCAATTATGTGAAAATGTAATATGAAATACTACTTCACTCACCCCGGTACACCACCCGCTTCCATATGATTAGCTAATGTAACATCATCAGACCATGTATCATATTGCCATTTTCGTAATCCCAACACACCGCAAAGAACACGTCCTATGCGCAAGCGATATATATAACTTAAATGTATGTTATTTATCCAACGACAACTTACCTGAATGGATACCGATTCGCATGTTAACATCAACGCCAGTTGCTTCCCTTACAAGTCTAAAACATTACATGACATAGCTTAAGACCCGCTCCCCATGTCAGAAATCTATTTCGAGAACCATATATCCGATCTTAACGAAAACTTCAGGGTTTGTTAGGTCTAACATGAAACGTTTACAAAAAGAATTAAGTCGTCTCAAGCTGTAGGGGTTCCGAACTTATAGGATTTCCAAGGGACAATACGGGGCGTTCGGCACTTCCCAAAGGATTTTTGTCCAGATAAGTGCTGGAGAGCTCGCGTTTGCATTATTCTTTGCCGAATACATAAAGCTAGAGCGTGGCAGAGCCGGATTTTTGCTAACGTTTTCTTCTCAAAAACACGAAAAATTCCATTGAAATTTTGAAAAATCTAAAGGCTGAATCGAAGATAGGGTTCTGTCAATCTCTAGCTATAACTATCCCCTACAAATCAAAACAAAAATTAAGTCCCTACGACGAATTATAACAAAAAATTCTGTGAAGCGCCGCACGTCGTTAGCACAAAAATCTATTTACAAAATAGAAAAAATAGAACTAGAAGCATTTGTTGCTTTTCGGAAAACTCTAATAACTTTTGACTAAATCATTGTGGAGAGTTGGCAAACGTCTTATTTTGAAGAAAAACCTTTGCGAAAAACGATGAGATCATTTGAAAAAAATTTAGAAGTATTTTAACTGGAGAAAGTAATAAACGTTGAAAACTGGTTTTTTCAAGGTTTTTGAAAAACTTTTCAAAAACCACTAAAAAGTTTCGTTGTAGATGATTTTAACACAGATTCTGAAAGGAAATAAACCGAGCTATCTGTCCATGTGTTTATTGCAATTTCGATGTTTTAGAAAAAGAAGTTGATTTCTAACATGCAGAGGGGGAGAACTTCAAGAAAATTCTTCATCTCTTGTTGTTTTGAAAAATTTCCGATTTTGAGTTGAGCATAGTCCGATATAGAGAAAAGCCTAGTCAGAAAAATAATATCACTTTCATCAATTCACGACCTTCTCTGAAAAAAGTAATAAATATTCTTGAAATTTTTGTTCAAACACATAAAAATACTCAACTTTCATGTCTTGTAAATTTTTCTTCTTTTGTAGTGTCTTTAGAAAAATTTTCTTATACATACTCCGATAGGGAAAGGTGTCCTCTTCTTAATGAGACATCTCCTAAAAGCTTTCAGTAGCTTTTAGATTCAAGCATCGCCTCAAATGCCCTGAAAAAACTCAGGTGAACACATGTCTTACAAGATCTTATGATAACATCTTGAAAGATGTTTTAAAATCTTGTGACATCTTATAATACGATCTTACAAGATACAAGAACATATATGCAACCTTGTTATATATTCTATGATCATGGGTTGTCTGAATTCTCTCTCTATGGTAAAATATATCAATAAATGGAAAAACAGGAGGAAGAGGAATGATGGCAAAAAGCCGTCATATCAAATTGGATATTCAGATGAATTTCTTAGAAGATTTTATGAATTCTTGTATGATCTCTAGTAGCAAATCTTTTTCTCTTTCATTCTGTGCACTACACTGTCTATGATACGCGAAGAAAGCAAATGCAACATCACGTCTATCACATATAGAAATATGGTACGAAAATGATGAGCACTTAAGATGTTTAAAATAATGCTGCTTCTAATTGGTGTGCATTGTACTTCTGCAAAAACCTCGTCCGCTCCGATCAAAAATTTTATTATCGTTACACAGAATAATTTTTTGTTTCCATTTCTGACTTTTTTACTCGACTATAGAATCTTATTAAAATCAAAAGTCTTTAAAAGAGAAAGTCAATAACAAAAAACATTTTTGAGATCTGCTATATCGTTTTAGATATCTGTGGTAAAATTTTCTGCTCACTTGAATAAAACTTGAAGAAGATTATAGTGCAGTCAGTTTAAAGATTGAATTTTTAGACCACTACACCTATAACTTTGTCTGACAAGTCTGGGAAAGATGTCACGCCGACCGATTGAACGTTTTTTTTTATTATAAAACCGATAGATAAAGTGGATAATTGTAAAATAACGTCTCACTGGATTTCTGTCCATGTGAGTTGGTTCTAGAGAAAACGAATGTTTTTATTATTTATTAGCGAGCGAATAACAAAAACGTTTCTCTAAAAAAGACAAAAACCCAGTGAGACATTTTTTTACAATTATCGACTTTATCTATCGATTTTATGCGGAAGAAAAAACATTCGATTAGTTGGCGTAGCTACTTTATGAGCTAGAAAAGTTAATTTTCTTTTTCAAAATTCTATTACTGGTATAAATTTGAACTTAATCGGACGTTTGCCAACAAGATGAAAAACGAGGGAAAAAAATATTCTTAATCGATCGATTGGCTACAAGAATTTCACAAAAAATCGAATACAAACTTGATATCATCAATCATTTTCAGACCCATTCGTACACAATTTGAAGCATGATTTGGTCTAGATATTGGCAAACCACTCACACAGTAATAGCAATCACCAAGAATTTTTATACGCATACAATCACATTCCTAAAAATGAGAGAGAAAAAATAATTTATTATCGATCGATATTTCGATGGGATAATAAACGAAAGTTCCCTAATACAAATAGTCAACTTCTTTCTATTGAAAAAATATTTTTTTAGCAAAAATTTTAAATCATAATTTTTCCAAAAAGAAAAAAAAATAAATCAATAAAATCAATGAATTTACCTGTGCAAGTTGATCAAATTTTCCAAAAAGTTTATTTAAAATTTGTACAAGTTCTGGTGGTGAAAATTTTTCTGATAATGGTGTAAAATTCACGATGTCTGCATACAAAATGCTAAATAGAAATAAGTAGTAGTAAAAAAAACAACAACAGAATTTCAACTGATTATATTAGAGTCAATGATTTTTAATCGAATGTAAAATTTTACCTAACATTTTCATGTTTTTTAATATATAAATCGTGGAATGTTGCTTTTCTAATATTTATTTTTTTTGTTATTGCATTCGATTTTTCATTATAATTTGATTGAAAATGATATTTAGCTGTTTCTTTCACTTTTCTTAACATTTCTTGTTTCATATTAATTGCTATACAAACATAAATTAAATCATTTTATATAATAAAAAATATTAGAATATAAATTAGTACACAAACCTATATGTGCTGGTATTACACTTAATATTAATCGTTCTTGTTGTTCTTTTTCACGTTCTAATTTTAAACGTGCTTCAATACAACGCATAGTATTTTGATATGTTTTATTTTGATGAACATCCGTTAAATAACGATGACAAAAACCAAAAAAATTACTAGCAATAAAAAATAATGATAAACAAACAACCTAAAATTAAAATATATTAATTATTATTAATAATAATAATAATAAATATATTATTTAACAAACCTCTAATTTAAACTGCATTGTATATGGTGTTTTTGTATAATGTGTACCAATAACTACACCAATATGAATTAAAGATGTTAATAATGCTGTTAAAACTGTCCAAGATCGTCGAATAGGCAATGTTGTATGAATTGATACAATTGAAAATGTTACTAATGCCATTAGACGAATAAGAGATGTATATCGATGTAATATAATGGGTATAATAGAGAAAAGAGTTAATAGTATCCAAATAGATATACAAAATAATTGTGAATGAGATTGAAAAAATTTTTCACGTTGTAATAATAAAACAAATATAATTGATATTAAAGATATAGAAGAAAATAGAACAAGTTCAAGAATAAGTTGTGATACATTCTAAATAAAAAAAGAAAAAAAAAAAAAAATTATTTTTCCGGTTTTTTTCATATCATACTAACCCATTAGAAAAAGAGTGTCTTTATTATTATTATTATTTTTTTTTTTTGACACTAGACATAGACATAAATATTAAATTGAATTAATTAATCTAACAAAAATTGTTCACTTACTTTTTCTGTTAATAATGAGAATATCAAATAAATGATACCCTGGACAGCTGTTAATAGTAATGCAAATAAAACTAAACCATGTTTAATTCTTACTAGATAGAGACCAAAATAATGTTTATTATCCATATTAGCTATAATATGAAAAAGAAATAGAGTTAGAAATATAATATTTATATATTTTAGAAGAAAATAATGTTTACAATAGTTTGAAAATTTTCTAATTTTGATTATTAATTTAATTATATATTTCTAATCCAAGGAAAAGGATCAATATGTTTCTTTTTAAAAAAAAAAAACTTTGTTCACATAATATCATTAAAAAAACAAAAAAAAACAATAGAAGTCGCTTATATAAATATGACCTCTCATTTTGTCTTGTGAGATTAATTAACAGACTGACATGTTGAACGAATGTAAATAGCTATGATAATCCACTTTAATTTTTCTCAATAAACGTTAGAGTGTCCTTGATACAAAAATATTGACACATTCTATGATCGAGTTCAGAAGAAGAAAAAAAAAAAACCTATGTCTGTTTTTTTTTTTGTTTTGCTTGACACATTATTAAACGTTTATATTCATTTAATTTCTTTTCAATATTTTCTACTAGATTTATGTTTACATCGATCTACATGACTTAATTTTAAAAATCTTACACTAATATTTTATCATTTGATTAACAACAAAACACAAATTACCACGCTGTCATAGATTTTTTTTTTCTTTGTTTTATTTTTTTTTTTTTTGCTTACCTAAATTAACTTGTCAACAAATTAGAACTATCCATCCCTACAAAACAAATTAATCTATATGAATAGTCTACAGTATTTATATTGAATCAATTAAATATGTTGTTATTTTTTATTATTCAATTTCATTTATCATAATATTTCTCTTTTTACGTGATAATGATATAAACATGACTATCGGCTAATATCTTTTATTAAAAACACGTCGAAAGACGATCATCTCTTTTCAAATTTTGTCAACGAAAATAAAAAAAAAACAGAAAGAAAAGAGAGTCTCCATTGTCTTTTATCATCATGGAGTGTATCAATGAAACATGTCTTTATCTAAATTTATATTGTGAATAATTGTTGAATAGAATAATATGCCTTGAAGCGCTCAAGCAAAAATAGAAAAAAACTTCTTTTTTTTTTCTTCTTCTTTACATGAAAATTCCATTTATCAATTCAGTTTGACGCTTCTTTTCTTTTCTCTTTTGTACAACAGTTGTTTGTGCACTAATTTATAAGATTTTAATGTGATAATTACTCCAGACAATTGGATTATATCAGAATGTAGATTATATTTGTCACTCTGATCTCTTGTCGCGAAAAATAGTTAATTTATCAGATCATTTGATAACAAACATGTTTTGTGTTGACAAATGAATGAATCTTTATGAGAAACATACGTATTTATACTGATGAATAAATAAAAATAAATAAATTTATCTTTATAGAACATGTAAAAATTGTATTTTTAAAATTAACCATTTATTTCTAAGAAATAACGTATACAATCGCCTTTTTTTGTCATTAAAAGTCGAAGATTCACAGTTCTAATACAAAAAAAAGAAATGAGAATTGAATGTACGAAAATTTAGAATAAAAGTGTCTATATCCGAGAAGTGAAAATAAATCTTGAATGATTTATATACGTTTCATCATCATCAAAGTATAAATCTATGTAACATTATTGAAATAAGAACAAGATTTTTTTCAACTATATTTCGAACTATATTCAAGATTATTCGAGAAATAATTTAAATCTAAAACTGTTAATCTAATTATAAGCGAAAAATCATACATTATATATTTGAATAAAATTATGAATTACCTTTTTGTCCTGTTTCTTGGCCACCATTCCAAGTGTTAATCTGTCGTTTATGATAGTCTAGATCATTATTATTTACTTGTTTTCCGCTAATATCACCAAATTTTAAATGAATTAAACTTAACGTTTTTTTCATTATTATTTGAATTTAGCACAAAAAGAAGTATAGATTAACATTTCTGATGAAAATGACAGAAGAAAAAAGGAAAAGAAATAATGGTATTTCAACACTCAATTAGTTGTGCATATTGTCAAAGATTAATATGTTCCTTTCTAAACTCATCATCTGCACTTGAGATGAGATAGAAGAAGATGATGATGTTGATGATGATAATGATGATGATGATGACGATGATGATAGATGGAAAAGAAGAAGAAAAAAAACACAAACGAACAAATGAAATGGTTTGCAGTTAGAGAATAAAAGCGAGATTTTAAATAAAAATTCAATTTAAAGATATTTATAGAAGAGATAATAGAGACAATAATTTTCAGGTTTATGAACAATATTTAAAACATATACACTCTTTTATGTTTTTTGCCAGAAGAAACGAAAATAAAATAAAACAAAATAAAATCACGCAATTCATTCAATCTTTCAACAACCAAAATGCAAATGTCTTTGCGTTCTTTATTAGAAGAAAATGATGTCAAGAAAAAAATGAAGAGAAAGAAAAAAAAAAGAAGAAAGTAACTAATAATTGTTGAGCAAAAGAAGAAAAGAAAACGAAAGGTTCCATTCTGAAAATATCTTTTTGTTTCAAAGAGAAAAATATCGAACAACAACATCTATTATTACAATTAATAATTTAAAATTTTCCTTATCTTATTTTTTATTATTATTATTTTTTGTTTTAAAGACATAGAAAGAAAAAGAGAGTGAACAATTTTCTGCAATCGAATTGATAATCTTATTATTATGTGATTTATCCTCAGAGGATAACGATGGATATTCAAATAGTTTATTTCCGCCGCCATCACTAATCATATGAACGCAATGAAATGAAAACAATTGCTTTGTTTCCTATTGTTATTCTTAAATCATAGTCGACTACTCAATTTTACTAAGTGAATACGTAAAAATGAGAAATTACATTTATTCTAAACATGTCGTATACATCGTGATCAACAAAAAGCAATGTAGAATAATTTTATATGTAAACATCAATCGAAAAAAATACTAAACGAATTGTAACGTCTTACATCTCTCACTTAATCAAATAAATTCTTAAAAATTCATTCAATCAGATGAATGGAATGATTTCTTAATAATCTTTATTTACCTTTCTTTATAGGGAAAAAATTCGTATAATAAATAAACAACAGAACTATATAGGAAGAAATGAAATCGATTTGTGAATAATAAATTTAGAGAACTTATCGAATAAGAATCGAGTACCACAGCAAAACATTTTTTCATAAAAGATATGAGATAAATCAAATTTAAATTTTCGAATGAATCCTAGGCAACTCTTTCGGGTACAATTCTATATAGTGTCTATTATCTTCAGTCGTTTCTTCTGTTTATGAAACAAAATATAATAAATGAGATCATTCATATAAGGCGCTCTTCATATAAATCCACTTTTTAGATTCGAAAGAAAAAAGAAGTAACTCTTTGCTTCTAGAATACACTCTAGTGGAACTTCTTGACTCAAGATCTTGGTAAGAAAACATAAGAAATTAACGAAATTTCAAGAAGTCAAGATCCTGAACTGCTTGAAATTTCTTGACTTCTTGTACCAAGTTCTTGAGTGATTGAATCTTGTACGCAAGATCTCGGAAATTTCTGAAATCATCGTTTTATTTTACATTCTTGTGTAAATATAAGTGCGAATATTTTCACACTTAGAATAACTACGAATTTTTTTCTTACTTAAACATAGTTGTTTAAGGAAGAATGCATGATTATATGTGGTCGTACACCTGATGGTTATGGCTATCATAAATGAAACCAAAATGTAAAGGAAATTTTTAACTAAAGTGTGATAATTTACACAAGAGTGTGAAACAAAACGATGATTCAAGAATTTCCAAGATCTTGGGTATAAGATCCAATCATATTATCGTGAGTATATTCGCTCAAGATTTCGAGCGAAAGATTCAAGAATTCGAGATGGTGACTTCTTGGTGTTTTTCCAAAATCGTGTGACATTTCTTAATCCAAAATCTTGCGTACAAGACGTTTTACAAGGGTGAGCATTATTTTGTCGTAAGACGTTTGATATATATACTTTCTTCTGCAAATTTAGGCTACAGTGTCGCTCAAAATAATAAATTTTTGGATATATGTATCAGCAATTACCAAAATTCATCTATTTTCATTCACCATTTCCAGGGCAGTCGAGCGTAAAACACTTCTGTTTGTTAAATTAGATTCATTAAATATGAACGTGTTTAATAATGCTGCATGTTTTTAAAATCCGGGGTATTTCAAAAGTCACTTTTCATTAGAAAAAATCTGAATATCTCTCTTACGTACTTGGCAAATAAGGACAAGTACTTGCAAGTAAATTTACTTCTTGAAAAAAGGCAAGTACCGGCTTTATTACTCAGACGAAGTGCACAGTCCAAGTACTTGGCCCCAAGTACGTTCTGTAGAGAGATATTCAGATTTTTTCTAATGAGAAGTGACTTTTGAAATAACCGGATTTTGAAAACATGCAGCATTATTAAACACGTTCATATTTAATGAATCTAATTTAACAAACAGAAGTGTTTTACGCTCGACTGCCCTGGAAATGGTGAATGAAAATAGATGAATTTTGGCAATTGCTGATACATATATCCATATATACATACATATATCGAAAGCACTTCTTAGCAATAAGTCAAGTATTTCGATCAGTGACAAGTACTTGCATCAAGTACGTTCTCTAGGGTTTCTCACAACTCTTTTTACTATCTAAAATCCTTTTATTCTCTAAGATAACAGGTATTATCTAAATGTATCATAATTCTTTCTCACAAAAGCTTCAAATTTTGTAATTTTGTTTGAAAAAATATAAAACTAAAGAATTTGTTTCATTTAGTTTTTTTTCACAGAATCTAAATTTTTAACCTAGAAAATGAATTTTATCCATATGTTTCGATTTCAAGTGAACATTTCTGATAAAATCATCACTCACTGTTAGTTTATTGCACGATTGTATCTGATGAGGTCCTGTCAGTATAAAGTATCACTACTATACTGTTATTCTCGCAAATGTTAGCGGAAATTGATTTTACTTAGAATCATAAAATATACGGATAGTTTCTGAAACTATTCGCAAGTCAGCATTTTAAGTTATGCTGTGGAACTAGTTTACAGAGAATTTGGCTAAAGCAAACACAGACAGCAGTAACTCATCAACAAGATTTGACATAGAAAAATTAGACAATGTTCACACAGGATTTTTCTGTGAGAAAAATATTATTTTTACAATGATTTAGCAAGTTTTCGATTTTTTTATTATATAATATAATAAATAAAGCTTACATAGAACATTTTTCTATCAAATAAAAATATATGAACCAATTTGGTTAAGAATTAGCGAAGATATTAAAATTTTTTATCAGATAGTGACGCCTGAAACACCCTAAAGAATATAATTATGTATCCTATCGATTGTTTCTTCTTTAGAAATGCACTAAATTAAACAAGAAATCTAATTATTAACGGTTTATTAAGCTTATTGGAAATCATCTAATCTAGATAAAAAGCCTCGATACAACAAGTTTATTTTCATCAAAACATCTTACCTGATGTATGTTGAAAATCAGTTGTCCACTGTTCTAATGATAAATCATTGTTAATTGGTGATGCTATAATCAGAGTAAACAACACGAATATTATGTAACGAAGCTAATCATCTCTCGTTTTCTATATTGAATAATTAGCCATACTCATTTCTTTATTTATCTACTGTAACATTTAACGACACACACACAAAAAAAAGTAGCTATTTTTGATTTTTTGATATGTGTGTAAGTGTGCGTCCATGTTTTGACAATACTCATAAACGCCCCAAATTTTTTTTAATGTCCTGGGAACGATACAAGATGCTTTTATTGCATGGCTATACCATGTTCTCTCTCATTTTTGTGTAAAGAGTTAGATAAGAACATCATAATATAAAAAACAATGTTTTTATGTCGTTTATTCAGTTATGAACATATTGTGCTGCCATTCAAAACGAATTTATAATTTGAATATGTTAGTCGATTAAAAACGCGTACAGAAGAAATTTTTGACAAATAAAAAAAAATAGAAATCTTTTTTATATCGCGTCGTATCAAATATAATAAATCAATGATTATTGTTTTTCCATTAAAAGAAAGACGTCGCACTGACATAAAAGTTTTTCAGTATTAGAGCTTGAGATGAAAGACGAGAGAGAGAGAGAGAGAGAGAGAGAGAGAGAGTGGGTGATTTATTTGGTGTTTTTAGTAGTTAGCGATGAATGTAAAAGCTATAGTCAACAAGTTCCGCACAAGTTGAGAAAAACTTTTTTTATGCATACAGTAATAGAGCTAAAGAAATAAGCGATGAACGCAGACAGCTCACATAGATACAAATGTCTTGTATCATAACAAAGATCTTGTCTTGCTCTAATGAAAATGTCACACTTTGTAAATTCAATGTAATTCTGATAACATTTGTCCTAAATTTTTTGACGATATTACGTCAGAACTGTAATAAGACGATATTCTTCTGTTATATAATATTACATTTTTTTAGTAGAAAATGTCTATGCAATGTGATGGAATAGAGACTGTTGTATGATTTATTTTGTTTAGAATAAGAAAATCTATCATAACAAAATGAGTTTAGAATAACATTATAGTATGATAAAGAAAAGAATTTTAGTTACATAGAGTGTGCTTGTCTTAGAAAACAGCCATCATTCCATCAGACGATCATGGTGAAAATATTTACAATCGAATAAAAATTGTTTATTCAATATACAAGCTTACAAAGAATATAGAATAAAACCTTACTTCGAAGTTTTGAAGTTGAATTTGAAAATAATATCGTTGCCCCGTTCGATTGATAACGACGACGTAAAATTTTTGTCGCATTAAAAATTGATGTTAAACGACGTTTATGTTGTGATTTTGCTTCCATCATAAGAACTAAAATAAATGACATGAAATTTCATGTGCGAAGGCACGTCATATAAAAAACTAATTCAGAAATTTAAAGATAAAATTTGTGGATTATATACATTTATGTAGAAATTTTTGAATTTTTCATAAATATCATCTGAAAATGAAATTTAAATCTGCATTTACCTAATATTGTTTATAATCTTTAAAAATTGATTCGTATTTCATTGAAAAAAGGTAGCCATTAGTGTTCTCTTCTTTTTCAATTGAATAAAAAACGAATTGTATAAGGTTCCACGTTTCTAAAAGTTAACTTGATATGCCTATATTAATTCACCCACACATCACAAAAGAAAGAATAAACAAAACAATGATAAATGGCATCAGCAACGGTGCACCTAAAAAGAAATCATAAACAGAAAATAGATACTTTTGTTCGTTATAGCAATATAATAATACTAACAATTTCTTCTTATTCTACTCTTCTTTCTTTGACTTTGATCGACAAACGAATTTTTGTTCGTTTTCTTATTATACTATAGTGGATTTTTGTAATATGGATACTAGAGAAATTATTTATTCTGTTGATGTTTTTCTTTTTTCCTTATTATCTCTGTTCGTAAATTGAGGTAAAAGATGAGTATTTTTTATCGTAATCATACGATGTATGTTTTGACAAATGGTTACGATTCCTTCCTTGTAAAGGCACGATGGGTTTTTAACAACTAAGTTGAGTATAAGATGAAATATAAACATAGTGATTGTTTTTCATTAATCGATGGATAACACTAATGCTAAAAATTACGTTTATGGCACGAAATTGCAAGACTTTTCTAACTTTTCATGGATCAACTAGGTTGGTTATTAATAGAACAAATTTACGCGTTCATCTTCATTGAGCAACATTGTCCATGAACAGAACAAATTTATGCGTTCATCTATATTTTAAGATAATTTTGAGTTAGTGAATTTAACACGTGATGTAATTATCAATACCGTCTTTCTTCATCATCTGAGAAGTTTGTCATTATTCTTGAGATTCCAACCAAAATATACTTGTACCTTTTTGTTTTAGTTTCTAACTTTCTTCTTTTTTTTTGTTATTATCAAGCGCTTAAGCGCATGAAGGCTCCCAGTATTGGGAGAAAATTTGACTCGAGTCAAAGTTCAAACTTCATAGAGCCTATAATCTAGAAAAAAGTTAATCTAAAAAAAAGAAATCAAGTCTTTTGAAATTTTCTGCTTCTTTTATACTTTTACGGACGCAGAACAAAATGGAGAATGGATAGACACGGTAATTGCAGTTATCGGCGGTATTTTAAAAAAAGCTTGAGATGGGATTGCTCAATGGTTACAATATCAAAGTTACCGGTGGAAATAACAAAGGTTAATCAAGTCTAAAATTTAAAAGAAATTTGTTTTAAATGAACATGAACCCAAATTCGTTATATTTGGTTAAATTCAACCCATCTGTTAATTTGAGAGATGATACATATATTATCTTGAATCTGTGTAACAGAATAAATTTATGCTACATTTAAGGTTCATTAGTGCGGATGTATTTACAGATGTTTATTTTTATTTTCGTTACACTAATCATGTTTAACGAAGCAAAACAAAGTCTCCATTTGCATGAATTTTCCCTCTAAATCATGATAAATAAGAAAAAACATTCGTTAAACTTATTTTTTCTTGATCTCTACCATTCATCAAACAAAGATAGAGTAGCTAAGTATTAGCCATAGCTATGATCGGCAACGTACGCAGGATTTTGCTAAGGCGTGAGCCAAATGTTTTTCATTGTACTACTTTCAACGTTTCCTTACAGAGCTGTGAGGGTTCAAATGTTCGATTCCAACAACTGTATAGCGTTGCTTTCCTTCTGTTCTATCCTAGTCTTTCTCCTTTCTTCTTTTTCTGAAGGTTTATCTTTTTTTAATAGTAAGTGAAGTCTTTATCATACGTAGTGCACACATATTTACCGTAATCCTTTGGATCTTGATTTTTTGAGGGACTTAGTACTTAGAATTATTTTTTTCCAACAGAGATCGAAAAACTGGAATCTCTAAGGGGTGAGCTCCTGATTCAGTATTGGGTACGTTTCTGATCTTTAACAATATGAAATACAACATTATACCAAGTTAAGTTTATATCAACCTGTTTACTCTACCTTTGTAAAATAATCTGCCGTTTATCCAAAATTTGTATGACGAATCGGTTTCCTGATACGATGTAAATGTGAGTGAAAGAAGCATCCAATTTTCCTCTACTGGCGTCTTCATTGTATATTCTCATAGAAATTCTGCAACTATTGTTAATATACAGATTAAACACAAAACTCGTAGTTTGTACACGCTGAGAAAATAATGTATAATGAAGTGTGAAATCGAAAATTGTAGCAAGAAAAACTGCGGACAGAATAACATTCCAAATTGATTTGTATCGAAGAAGGAGCGAAGAAGAAATCGTGCAATACACTGTAAATTGAAAAGAGTTTCTAATTTATAGAAAAGCATATGGTTTCTGTGACAGCGCTGAGCATTTCGCAAGAAACTTAAAAATGCTAATTGTCTGCATTTTCGAAAATGCTTACGATTCTCTTAGAAGCGTACTAATTACAAATCATTTTTTATGGCTATGAAATGGTTCTTGATTTTCTACAAAATTAAAAAATCGATTGAGAAATGTGCTATTATATTGTGATGTTTGCTCGTGTTATTCTGATTGAACTAAAAATCTAAGAAATTTATAACGTACTTTTCTCAGCTCAGCACATAGAGTATTTGTCAACCATTTTAGGTTGCCGTATTCCTAAAAAATCTGTCTCATTCTTTTGCCAAATAACAGAAGTTCATGGAGGAGCCAAAGGTTAAATACGTTCTGTTTCAGATTTTTTGCGCAAGCAGATGCAGTATTTAACATTAATAATAATTAACTCACTTAAAACAGAAGAAAATTAAACCAAAATACTTTCTAACTTTTTAAAGTATCAGTGGTAAACAAAACTGATCATACACCCCTCATATTAATTTATGACTAATATTTCTCGGAAACGAAATCACTTGTAAAGTTCGGAGTTTCGCTAAAATGTTGTAATTTATTTGCTTAAAATAGGAAGTGCTCATGTCATACAGTCATTGTGCTACGTGAAGAAGAGCGAGATGGAGGACGTTCTCTATTCGACAAAATTGATCATACAGTTAGATCTTTTCATTTTTCAGATAGCAGACTTTAGTCTTAATTTGGCCAAACGAGCGTATTTTGTGCAGTTTTTCTCGCTCTTTTGCCTCATATGTACTGTAGAATTTTAAACGAAAGAGCAAAGAAAAAGCAAACGAAATACAAAACAGCCATTTTTTCCTATTTTTTCGATAGGTTTTTGTAATGCTTCGGGTAAAAAATTTATATTTCATTCATAGTTCAATTCGATTGAGAATTTTCTGCTTTACAAAATGCATTACTTTCTTTCATTACATATTATTTCATATGAATAGCTAACAGAAGCATTATTGAATAATCAATTAGGTCAACTAAAAAAGTAATTATAACCTGTTCCTTCCGACGCAGTTATACTTTTATCTGTTAGTACTCTGCAATATTTTTTAAAATAATGAAATAATATGTAATGAAAGAGGGTAATGGATTTTGTAGAGCAGAAAGTTCTCTATCGAATGAGTTTAGAATGAAATCTTCGAACCTCAGATGTGCTCGGAAGAAAAGAGAACAAAAGTGCGTGCGTCATTATTTCTGGCCCACCCGTTATGATCTCAATTTAGAAGAAGACAAAATTCTACACAAAATGAGCTAGCTATTTTTCGAGTTGAATACTTAAAGAACATCTGAGTTACACATACTATCTTTATCACATCACTTCTCCCAAAAAAATGAAACAGGCTTTGTCCACAGAATAAACGAAATTCTTTGAAACGAGATCAAGATAGTATGTATAACTTAGCTGTTCTTTAAGTATTTATCTCGAAAAATAGCCCATTTTGTGCAGAATTTTGTCCTCTTTAAGCATGTTACGTCAAAAAAATCTTAGAGAAGAGATTTAAGGCAAAAAAATACAAAATATAATAGATATATCCCAGAGATGATGACTAGAACAGTTAGAAAATCAATGAAAATGCGCAGAAGAAATAGTCTATTTTTTTCATTTAATAATTGTTTCTGATGTAGTTTTTTACGCTCTTTCTAACGGTATATTTAGAGTTGAGTTTTCTTTTGATCAAGTTTACTGATCAAAGAGCGCATTTTAAATGAGTTCGATGCTGACATACGTAATTTTCAATTTTGTGACCTTTAGAGAGCACTTTTTTGAATCATTCTTTTTTCAGCAGAAAGCTGAGATTTTGCTCTTTCGAATAATAAATTTGAAAGATCATTCACTACTTGCAAAATGTCAAAAACCATAGAGGAAAGGTGTCCGAATACTTTTTTCGTTCCAAAAGTCGACTGAGTGTAAAAGAAGACTCATTATAGACTCATCTAAGATCATTAAAAAATTTTCAACTGGACAGAAATGTAGAGCAGACTTCGCTCTATCGAACAGTAAAAAAAATAAGTTTCTTATCTCTTTTATTTTACGAGATAATAAACTCGCAAGAGAAGCTTCTTACAGTGTCTGAATACTTCTTACACACACTGTATGTTATTTTAGGATATTTATCGCCACATGCTATCGAAATTTCTACTTGTGTTGGTTTGATTAGTAAGTTGTATGGTTTTTATCAAATGAGCTAAAGAAATCTTTTACATATTTTGTCGTATAAATTATATAAATAGTCCGTGAAGTAACAGTAATAGGTTGTCGAGTAATAAAGAATATTGTTTCTGACATTCATTGATCATTTCGTTTCATGCGGTGGAAAATAGAAAGGGAATACATGTCAGTCGCATTCTGTAGAAAAGAAAAGAAAAAAGATGAGACTTTTCTCTATACCCGAAAGTCTTTTACTAATAGCAGCAGCACTTAGTCTAATGCTAGAACTATTAACACTGACAGAAAAAGTTTGTTTAATCGTTTATTGAAGAAATGAAATG